TCCTGGCTATTGGACTGCTCGGGTAACCATGGTACAAGTTACCCCATTAGCCATGCACGTGCATTGACTATTGTACGGCCTTACCCAGCATCTAGGAAGTAATTCCTGCTTACAGGGGCAACCATGACCTTATCATACTGTTGTAGAACTATTAGGCCTCTATAAATCTGTAAGGCCCCTTTAAATCCTCTTGCTATACCTCTAAGAGGTCCCATAGTTTTACAAGAAAGCTTTGTCTATAGAACATAGAATTTGCATGTCAGCAAGAAATAGCTTTGATAAAATGTGTATTTACTAAAAGCCTTGAAACCTAACCTTGAGAAACTAACAGTGCCAGGCTACACTCTAAATGGATAGCTGCCAAAAGGCCCCTCCCGTCGAGTGAGCTCCTCATGTTAACAAAATGGCGCTAAAAACCTGGAGGAGACAATCATGACGAGGATAGTGACCTAAGATGGTACACCCCGTAGGGAGGGCATTTTACTAACTACTTAGCACCTAAGCCAATTAACAATGTCTATTTGTCTATATCTTGATTTTCTTCAATGATGTAATAATGCCTTTAAAAGGGCCTGCGAGCCTGCTTTTTAAACAGAAGCCATTAAACTTCTCCGAAGTTCTTTCATTAACCTGAACTCTGTGTCTCAGTGTGAATTTACTTCTGCGTGCACGCAACTTTATTATCTTTAATTTGGACAGGAACAGATAGTCATTCAAACTAATTGGTTTGCAGTAAATCATCTACTACAGTTTGGCGCCCAAAACATGGGGCTCTGGGTTATGTCCTGCCTGGGCAGCTGTCCAAGAAGATGCTGGGGGGATGAATCCTGGGGGAAGGAAAAGAGCCTGATCACCTCTGAATACACGGTAGAGACTGCTACAGCACCTAGCCGGTATGTTCCTACCCCTGTGATTGACCTGTCCCAGTGTCTGTGACTGCTGCCGAGAGGACATCAAAGTCAGGTAATAACTTGCCCAGAGTCTTTGTATTGTTAATGATACTTAATTTACCTGCATCTGTTGCCTGGGTGTGTTTGTATTGGTTTGTGTTTAACTTAGTACCCGGGGAGTGTGAGTGCCTGTTTACTCCTTTTAGGTACCACGTGGCTGTGGTAGTAAGGAAAAAGGGGGGTGGACCTGTGGAAGTTTTCCTGGGGTCCTCTATTGCCTGTTTAACTCTTTTAGGAGCCACGTAGCTGTGGCTGTAAGGAAAAAGAGTAGGGGGAATCTGTGGAGGGTGGTGTAGACTCACTGCTTCCTGGGGGTTCCCCATAGTGTCGCTTTGACTGCTTAGCTAGCCTCATCGGACACTTCTTCTTGGTAAAATTCCAGCCTCGAGCGCTGAGGCAGGTAAGATTCCAATTCTTTAGGCTATACAGGATTCGGGTTGGAAGCTGTTGCTATTTCCTGTGGCTGCTGGTAGTGAGACTTGCGGGTGGGTCCGCAACAGGGACACTACGAGGTTGAGGGAGGTGGCTTCGGCCACACGAGTAAAGGCAAGGGATAAAACTGTTGAACTTATTTGAACTGTGATGCATGCACTGTATTTTATTTGAAATGTTGTCTTAATTGTCTGTCACACAGATTCCTGTGCTTGATCTTATCTTACTCTCTGTGTTATTTACACTTTCCCCTCTTATTTCTCTTTGTTGAGAGAAGTGATTGGTCACACACTTCTCGCCACGCTCCAATTCCGCGGCTACCTCGGGTAGGCGGAATTAGTGACTAGTCTACGTTTTGGGAAGACATACGTAGGAACCCACTCTTACGTAGCAGTCGAGCACTGTAGACCTTCTTTTCTCTCTTTCTCTATATCTGGGACGCCTTATATAGGGAGGATGGGACAGAAGTTAGATAAACCGAATAAGGGTTGGTTAGCATGTGATCTAGTGGAAGACAGAGAAGGAGAAGAGATGGTTAAGAAAGTGAGTAAGATTGCTAAAGTATGTGGAATTACCGTACCTCCGTGCGGCAGATTGCAGCCAGAGAGCTGGCGTAAGTTACTGATAGAGAAGAAAGGGGAAGCTGTCGGACCACGATTTGGTTTGTACAGCAGAAGCCTGGTACCGAGTAGCAAGAGCTATTCAGCAAAAGGGATAGGTTGAGGAAGAAATTGATCACAAAGGTTTAAGATTGTTTGTGTATTATAATAATTGTGTTACTGGGAAGTCCTCCCAGCCAGCGCCCTATGATGGCGCCCAGGAGGTGACCACTCCCAACATCGCGTCAGCAATGACCGAAATGTAGCTGACCATGGTCCCCACCCCTGGTCCCCACCCCTGGTCCCCACCCCTGGTCCCCACCCTACCACCACCCCTGTTTGCCCAGTCCTGAATGCTGATTGTCACGTGCGTGGGCTATAGGCCCAGCCGAGACAGTGGGGAGAGTGTGGAAGTGACAGGGTTAATGACACCAGGCCCCTGGTTACCTGTTGCTAGTCCCAGCAACCACTCAATTAACCCCTGCAATCCCTTCTACACTAACTCCCTTAGTACACTTGACTGCCACCACCAAGACTTTTAAACCCGGGCGTCTTAGGTTACCCCACACACAGGAGAATTATAGTATCACAGTTCCACTTTTACTGATAAAACATATATAGTTAACCCTTTTTGGTAACGTGTTTACCTGAGCTTTCCTCTGGAGAGTGAAGCTCATAGAGAACAGAGACACAAGCTGATTAAGTAAACATTTAATCTGACAAAAAGGATTCACAGTGCTGAGTACAAAATACAGAAAAAAATGACATACAGATAACAAATTGCAAAACAGTACATAAAATAAAATAGGAGAAAACACAAGAAATTCCTTACATATATTTACCCCATATAGAATTCTTGTGGGAGTCTTAGATGGTATAGGTCTCCTAGAAGTTACTGACAAAAAGAAAAATGAATAACTGAACTTCCCTGGATAGTCCAACACCCTCATATATCTAAACTAGTTGTTTCTCAGTGGGCAGACCTCTGGGGGGGATCAGAGGGGGTTGGTCTGGCAGTCTATTGCCCACTCTATGAAATTCCTTGTGTCCAGCTCTGGTGATGGCTATCTAGATGTTTTATGGTCTAGGCCTGGTGCAAGATCAAAGACCATAATAAACGTCATCCCAAGGTTTACAAAAAAACAACTCTTAACATATATAAACACACATCAAATACCAACTCATGCTTTTGGCATGACACCTCCCCCTTAAGATGGTGGACAGAAAAATTCAGCCATAGGCTGATTTATCTGTCTACCATTAACCCTCTAGTTGCCGAGACAGGCCATCTGCATTCCCATGCAAGCTGCCCTTTTTGTGTTGGACAGTGAAATTATACTGTTGGAGGATGAGGCTCCAACGGAGCAGCTTACCATTGTTACCTGATACTCTGTCCAGCCAATGCAGCAGGTTGTGATCAGTGATGACAGTAAAGTCTCGGCCGAACAGATATGGCTGTAATTTCTGCAAAGCCCATACAACAGCTAGACACTCCTTTTCTATTACTGCATAGGCCACCTCCCTGGGTAACAGCTTCCTACTAAGGTAGAGGATAGGATGCTCTTCTCCTTTAGAGTTAACCTGGCTAAGCACAGCTCCCAGCCCAAAGTTGGAAGCATCTGTCTGGACCACAAACCTCTTACTAAAATCTGGGGCCTGAAGGACTGGGAAGCTAGACAAGGCTGTCTTTAAGGCAGTGAAGGCCTTTTCACAGTCCTCAGTCCACGTTATCTGCTTGGATACTTTCTTTTTAGTTAAATATGTGAGTGGTTTGGCTGTCTCACTGTAGTCTGGGACAAATCTGCGATAATACCCTGCTGTCCCCAAAAATGACATGACCTGTTTCTTGGTCTTAGGGACTGGCCAGGCCGTAATAGATTCCACCTTACTGGGTTCAGGGCGAATGGACCCCCCTCCTACTCTGTGCCCCAGATACTGCACCTCTGTCATGCCTATCTGACACTTTTCTGGTTTGATGGTGAGCCCTGCCCCACTTATTTGCTCCACTACTTTTCCCAAATGAACCAAGTGCTCCTCCCAGGTCTTGCTAAATACAGCAATGTCATCCAGGTATGCCACGGCGTATTCCTCATGGCTCTCCAATAATTGATTAACCAATCGCTGAAAAGTGGCCGGGGCATTTTTCATCCCAAAAGGCATCACACTGAACTCATACAACCCAAAAGGAGTGATAAAGGCTGACCGCTCTTGGGCTTCTGGAGTCAGAGGGATTTGCCAGTACCCTCGACTCAAATCCATAATAGTTAAATACTGAGCACCTGCTAACTGATCCAGTAGTTCATCTATCCTGGGCATGGGGTAAGCATCAAATGTGGTCACTGCATTTAACCTTCTATAGTCTACACAAAACCTGATGGATTTATCTTTCTTGGGAACCAGCACTACAGGAGAAGCCCAGGGGCTCTTTGATTTCCTAATTACCCCAAGCCCCAACATGTCTTCAATCTCCTTATGGATGTGGGCCCTTACCTCTGGGGATACCCGGTAGGCTACCTGTCGTAGTGGTGGTTGGCCATCAGTATCTACGTGGTGGGTGGCTAGTGTGGTTCGTCCTGGCTGCCCGGTAAATGTGTCACTAAAGGGGCCTAGTACCTGATGTAGCTGCCTCTTCTGTTCAGCTGAGAGCTCTGGGTTGATTTTTGTATCTTGCAGGGATTCCTGGCCTTTAGCTTCCTGTACCTTCCTGTCAGGGGTCAAGTCCTGGGGAAAAAAGTGTGGGAACTCACCCAAGATTCCCGCCCCCCCCCCTTCCCCCCATTAAAAAAAAAATTACACTCCTATGCATATAGTGCAGTGCAGGGTGTGTATAATGAATGTAGTGTGTTTGTAGTGAATGCAGAGTATGAATAATAAATGTAGTGTGTTTGTAGTGAGTGCAGTGTGAATAATAATTGTAGTGTATTTGTAGTGAGTGCAGAGTGTGTATAATGAATGCAGTGTGTTTTTAGTGAGTGCAGAGTGTGTTTAATGAATGTAGTGTATTTGTAGTGAATGCAGAGTGTATAATAAATGTAGTGTATTTGTAGTGAGTGCAGTGTGTATAATAAATGTAGTGTTTGTAGTGAGTGCAGTGTGTATAGTGAATGTAGTATTTTTGTAGTGAGTGCAGAGTGTGTATAATGAATGCAAAGTGTGTATAGTGAATGTAGTGTGTTTGTAGTAAGTGCAAATTGTGTATAATGAATTTAGTGTGTTTGTAGTGAGTGCAGAGTGTGTACAGTGAATGCAGTGAATGTAGTGTGTTTGTAGTGAATGAATAGTGTGTAGTGTTAAGTGAAGTAAGTGTGTTTGTAGTGAGTGTATAGTGAATGTAGTGTGTTTGTAGTGAGTGAAGAGTGTGTATAATGAATGCAGTGTGTGCGTGTGCTGGATGATGTGTGTGTGCGCGTTGGATGACATGTGTGTGAGTGCTGGATGATGTGTGTGTGCGCGTTGGATGACGTGTGTGTGAGTGCTGGATGATGTGTGTGTGCGTGCTGGATGATGGGTGTGTGTGTGCTGGATGATGGGTGTGTATGTGCTGGATGATGGGTGTGTGAGTGCTGGATGATGGGTGTGTGTGTGCTGGATGATGGGTGTGTGAGTGCTGGATGATGGGTGTGTGTGTGCTGGATGATGGATGTGTGTGTGCTGGATGATGGGTGGGGGGGGAGCATTTTTTTTTTAACTTTATGTGTATGTATATTTTTTATTTTATTCCCCCCTCCCTGCTTCTTACCTTGTCAGGGAGGGGGGAGATCGCCTGGTGGTCCGGGTGGAGGAAGCCAGCCGCTGCACAGAGGGGCCATCACACGCTGTGTTCCCTCTCCAGCTCTAACTCTCGCGAGACTCGCCTGTGCGGAGCGTTGCCATGGTAACAGCTGCGGGTCTCGCGAGAGTTATAGCTGGAGAGGGAACACAGCGTGTGCTGGCCCCTCAGTGCAGGTAGCAGGGCCGGTCCTGCAGGACAGGTAACGGGAACGGCGTTCCTGCTTTGGAAAAAGTGCGGGAACGCCGTTCCCATGCGTTCCTGCAGGACTCGAGCCCTGCTTCCTGTACCAGATCCAGCAAAGGATCATTACCTAGTTCTTCCTCTGGTGAACTACATACACTGAGTACCAAATTCTCTGGGTCATAATATTCCTTTAACATGTTAATATGATACTGCCTCTGCCTCTCACCCTTTTCATCGAGGGCTACTACGTAGGTGGTGGGTTCTAAATGCTGCAAAATGAGGAAGGGACCCTCCCAGGCAGCCTGCAACTTATTTTGTTTTAAATGGTTTTTATTGTTTTTGCAGTAAAATTGCATGCATAGTGTGAGAAGCGAGAATCAATATAAGGTTGCCTGCGCAGAGGCTCAGTGTTATATAAAATCATAGTTGCATATGTGCCTGCGCAGAGGCTGATTATAGTTGTACCACACAATATCAGTCATCTGTATGTTCCATGGTTGTAAAATCTAAACCGTTGACATGCGATGCTTATTGTCTTGTGTTGTCATTGTTAACCGAGCGCCTTCGCTGAAGCTTGCGCGATCTCTCATACGAGATGGGCGCATTATGTGAAGTGTGCAGATATGTGTGTTGCTGGTTGACAGGCAAAATGTCAGGAAAAACTAAAGCGCGGTTCCGTGCGTCTGGATAATTGCGCCTATGCAGCTATTTCGTCATCCGCTTAAGTTGTGCTTAGTGTGCCTGATGTGTTTAAGATATGCATCGTGTGCGCGGTATCAAATGGTCAGAGCAGTACATTAAATCGACAAATCCGCAGACAGTGGCTATGCGTCAATAATATCTAGCAACAATACATTGAGCTGTGTGTATTTTAGCAAGCATGTAATAGCCTGTATAAGGTGCCGTGCGCGGGGGACTGTATTTATTTATTCGAATTAGCCCGCGGATGGCGCGTCCCATAGAAGCCACAATAAGTGTCATATGAGTAACGGCAACGCAGGTGATTAAACCTAACTATTTTGCGCCCATGTAGCTCAGGTATTTAATCGAAGCAGGTCTTCGCTATGGGCTAGCTTTATACAGGTTATAGTGTAATAAACATTAGGCAATAACTGTGAACCAACGCCTCAGGGGGTAATGCAAAGCAGGAAACCATAGGAACAAGGTGTATCTTAAGCTGGGTCTATGCAAAAGAGTATATCTTATGTACAACGGCTTATGCACAAGGTAACAGTAGCGTGGTTAGCCCTAGCAAAACAGAGTTAGCCTTTTAGCATATAAGTCACTTTGCTGGAGGGGGCGTAATGGCGCCCGACACGGGGAAGCCTTCCGCTGTACCCCCCTTGCGACTCTCCGGTTCCCCCGGGTGTGACAGTCCCCTTCCTTTTCCATCCCAAGGTGTGCGTCCATGTCTTTAGGGGGCACCACCCCCGCTGTGGGCACTCGGAGACCGGGGCTGTCCGGCGGCCTCCCCACCTTAGAGTCCGCCGGGCTCCCGCCTCCTGCACCTCCCCAGCTTCAGCAGGGCCTCCCTGGGGCCTCCGCCCTGTCTTGCCTCATCCTCCTCCGGCCACTTACATGTTGCCGGCGTGTGCCCTCCGGCGGGCCCGTGCTTCTCAGCTCCATCGGGCTCGCAGAGTTGGGGGCTGTTTCTTCCCGGACCACCACCCAATCCGGGTTTCAGAGCCGGCTCTCCATCGCCACGTCCGCCGCCCACGGGGGTCCAGTCGTGGGTCCGCCGTCCCGGGGGTCCCGGTATCTCAGCGCGGGGTCTCTGCTGCGTGTGTGAGTCGCCCCGTGATGCTGTGTGGGTACTGTGTACCCGTCGGCCATTGTAGCTCCGCATACAGGAGTGTCGTGTGCCGGGCGTGCCTCCTCCTCCAGCCTCCGAAGTTCAGACTTTGGGCCGGGATCACCCCCCCGGCCAGGTGGGGGGGAGCGGGGCCGGGCTAGGTCTCCCGCGCCTTACTTGCGCGCCGTGGGTCTGTCTCCTGTAGGCCTCAGGCCTCAGGTATAATTTTGTGAGCCGGGTGGTCGATATGTTCTCTGGCGTTGCACTCCCCGGTTCCTCTCCGCCTGATTTCCTCTATGGATTCGGTTTTCAGCGGGTACCGTGCGTTTTTTTAAGTGTTTCGGGCTGTTTTAGGCTTTGCTTTGCCGGAGCTGGCGTGGGTTGCAGCCGTTCAGCTTGGCGGCCCGGCCCCGCCCCCCCTGCAACTTATTTTGTCTTATGGGGTTCAAAACCATGACCTTTTGTCCCACTTCATAGACCTGGTCCCTAGCATTGCGATCATACCAATATTTCTGCCTAGACTGCGCTGCTGTAAGATTGTCATGCACTAGCCCTGTCAATGTCTGCATCATGTCCCTAAACTTAAGAACGTATTCCACCACAGAAGTTTCTGGAGTGTGTAGCCTCCCCTCCCATTCTTCCCTTACTAAATCTAGGGGTCCCCGCACTTTGCGTCCATAGAGTAATTCAAAGGGTGAAAAACCTGTGGATTCCTGTGGATTCCTGTGGTACCTCCCTGTAAGCAAATAGTAAATGGGGTAAATACTTCTCCCATTCCCGGCCCTGTGATTCTACAAATGTTTTGAGCATCTGTTTCAAGGTCCCATTAAACCTCTCACAGAGACCATTGGTTTGGGGATGGTAAGGGCTTGCTACCAAGTGCTGTACATTAACCTTCTTACAGAGACTCTGCATCAGATTAGACATAAACTGCATACCTCGATCAGTGAGCATTTCTTTAGGGAAACCCACCCTGCAAAATATACTGATCAGAGCGTCCGCTACCTTATCTGCCCTGATAGAGGATAAGGCGATGGCTTCAGGATATCTGGTTGCATAATCCACCACTGTCAGAATAAATTGCTTCCCTGTACTGCTGGGGATAGCCAACGGCCCCACAATATCTACAGCAACTCATTCAAAGGGTACAGTTATGATGGGCAGAGGCACTAAGGGAACACGAGTAACATCCCCAGATTTACCCACTCTCTGGCAGACGTGGCAGGACCGGCAGTAATTTGCAACTGCAGTGCCCATGCCAGGCCAGTAGAAATTGTGAGCCAATCTTGATTTTGTCTTGGTTACCCCTAGGTGTCCTGCCAAAGGGGTTTCGTGGGCTAACCTCAACAGCTCACCCCTGAACTGCCTAGGAACCACTAGTCGTCTTTCTCCCTCCCTGGTCCCCTGTATATTGCCAGGAAGGGATTCCCAGTACAATATATTATTATCCCAATATACACGGTGCCTATCTGTGTCAGTGCCTGGTTGTTCAGCGCGGTGTCTCAGCCCTTCCAAGGAGGGGTCACTGCGCAGAGCTTCCAGGAAACTCTTATTGCCCTCTCCCCACCATGCTGCACAAGAAGGTACTGCTCCCTCTGGCAGAGCCTCAAGGGGTGGGAGAGGGTCTACACCATTCTCTGCCTGTTCTACTGTGATGGGATTCCAGCATGGTTAAAATTTAGTAGGCCAAAATCTCCATGTGGCATATGTGTATGTTGTGTCAGTTGGTTAGCTACATGTAGCTAGGATACTGTCATCAGTTTACTGAGCATGTGCAGGAATGCAGGAACTGAAATTGCACTTATTTCCTTTGTCTTGGATGAGCCATGTGGTTTGACTAGATGTACAAGTCTATATTCTGCTCATTGATTGGTTAAAGGTATATGTGGGTGTAGCTATTAATGGGAGGAGTTATGTGCCTATATAGGGAGCCTGCACTATTGTTCGGGGCTCAGAACTTACTGTATTTTTGGTGACATTAGTCCCTCTGAGTCCCGATCGGTGATCCAATAAAGAATCTCCTCCTTCCTGAAGAAACCTGTGTCCATCTCTCTGTGCTTTGCTTCCGTCAGTTTCTCCGGTATCATTTGGTGCATTGGCCGGGAAACTCATCGTTAAACGGTAGCTGAGAGGCAGAGGCGTGAGACAGTCTATCTTTGCCCACGTTCTCTACGGCTGCACCCCTGAACTTCTGCGTGGACCTCCCTTCGTCTCGGCGCCACTGGTCTGTTGTCCAGGAGATCATCGGCCTCTACGTAAGAAGTGCTGGGGTGTCCCCGTCGATGAGTGTGAACTCAGGTTCAGGAGCGAGGAGGTAAGACAACTGCTGTTTTAGACGGCAGACCCACTAGGGGTATACCGATTGTGCGGTAGGCCCAAAAGGGGTTTAAATCTGTGTATGGAATCTGCCCCTCTGTCGGAGGGAAGGAGCGAAGGCGCACCGCTCGATCGAACGCTCTTTAGTAAGACCGTTTGATCTGGTTAGTCAGGCGGGGTCCTGTGTAAATAGCCCTAGCCGGACACCGGTGTCTTGTCTAGACTAGCGTTCTAGGGTGTATATGACGTTCGCTAGGTCGGAGGGACCGGGAGACTAAGCGGCGCCTGTGTAAATTCGGTTCGCTAGCTCTCAACCTATCTTGGCTAAGTGGGAAGGCGTGTAAATTTGGAACCCACTAGACTTTTGATAGAGTAAATAGACTAGAAGGGCAATTTCAGCCCTCTAGTTCGCTATATGTGGTGCTTGGGCAGTGTGGCTAACCAAAACGGGTGTATATAGTTTTAGGTAGTCTATTCAAGGTACTGGCCAATAGTTTAGTTGGGATTATTGTAAATGTTGTTAAATATATTGTAGTTGGTGAATTGGTTAACTTCTATGTCCTACTAGAAAGTTAGAGCTCTGCTGTCTAGTGGGAGTGTAAATTGTGTGTATAACTGTAAAATAGCGCACGGTACCATAACTACTGACATGTACCATAACCACTGACATTGTGTAAAAATTACTAACAATTGCTGTTTTATTTTATATGTATAATACCATAACTGTTACTAACTGATCTGTGACTTTAAAACTGTATTATAACCACTTACTAACTGTACCATAACCACTGACTGTAAAGATGAGGTTACTAGAATGTGATATAGTTGGTTAGTCAAAAGTTGATTTATAGTACAGATAATTGTAGAGATGAATTTGTTGAAATGTTATGTGATCGGTTAGTTTATATGGATTAATAGCGTGGATAGTTGTATGGTTTGAATAATAGTTACATTGATAAGTGTATAGTCTTTGGTGGTTTTTTTGATTTAATTTTGTGTGTGCGACGTCGTGATATTGTTGAGCATGTGAGGATCCTGTGTGTGTGTTTGGGCCTAGTGACTGCGCAATGTGTTGCTGGTGATAAGGAGATTGGTGTGACTGTTGAAACTGTGTGTATATTTGTACAGCTTTCTGAATCAGACGTTCTGTTGAAATAATCTGATTCACTTGGCTGTTAGTCTTTTGTCTTGTATGTTTAAAAAAAAAAAAAAGTAGGGAGTAGCTTGTCCTGGTGGCCGCATGGCCTCCATGTGGCAGTCTTCACTTAAATTTAGTGCAGAGTGTACATGTGGCTGTAACTAGTAGGCTGGAATTCTATGATCAGTTTCTATATATTGACTGTTGGAAACTGATTGTTGCCTTGGTGAATTAAACTGTGTCATATGGGAAACAATGTAGCCACATGGTGGTCAGAACTAAGGACTTAATTACAACTGCTTTGGACATCCCCTCCCCCCCCCTGGCATCTGATTACCAACCCCCCAAACATCCTCCAGAGCCAGATTAGCCACGCCCATTTCTGGCTGGTATAATCAGTATTTGCACTCCCCCTGCTCTACTGTCCCCGCCTACCCACATACCTATCTGTTCCTGTGTTTCAAACTCTTGTATTTCTGTACTACCCCTCCCCCTAATCAATGATCAATGGTATCAAATGGTATATTGGTTTTTTTAGTTACTGGATGGGCCCCTCCCAGCTTTGTCCAAAATGTCCCCTTTTACTAAACTACAAACTGAAATGTTTAATTTACCTTAGAACTAAAGATTTAATCAAGCCTAGCTAGCAGGGTGGACATTGATTAAAATAAGTAATAATAAAATAGGACATAATTAATTAAAGTCTATTTGTTTCATTTGACTTTAGGGAGGCACTCTAAGCCACCTACTGGCCATCTTCGGGAGTTACATTGATAATACATTGTTTATAACAGATAGATGTAGGATTGCTTACCCTATTTTAATATATTTATTGCTATAAGGTTTTATTTTATGTATAAATATATTAAAAGTTGAGTTTTCTTATTAGACCCATAAAGATTATTTTGATACAATTACCCTCTGGTGACACCTACTGGTAGGTTTTTGGTTTAACACTTTAAAAAAACAAAAACAAAAAAAAAAAACGTTTTTTCATCCACCAAATGCTGACTAATAAAATTATCTTACTACTCCTAGACTGGAACCTATTATTGGGCAGCCTTGCCGAAGTCCCATATTAGACACTGCTTGAGTCAAATAGGTTGTATACTCCCTTTAATCCAGAGGCCCCTGAAAACTTCCGAATGATAGACTCAGCATTTGTCAGCCAGGCCCAAGGTGATAGTAAAAGGAAATTAAAGAAAATTAGAGGGATTTGTAGGGATGTCCATAATACAGCTAATGGAGATTGCAAATACAGTATATATGAATAGGGAGATGGAGGAAGAACGTAAAATGAGGAAAAAGGCAGATATGCTAGCGGTAGCTATCTTAAGTGTAGAAAGACAGGGAAGTGAATAGAGGAGACGAGAATAGGCTGAGCAAGGGACTTTAAGTAGGAATTAATGTGCGTATTGTAGAAAGGAGGGACATTGGAAGAGTGAGTGTCCACAGAGAGAGCAGTATGAAGGTGATAGACAAGGAGAGAGAAGGGTACGAGGAGGTTATAGTGGTAGTTATAGAGTAAGAGGAAGTTTTAGAGGGAATGGTGGGAATAGTAGAGGAAGTGTTCAAGGAGACAGATACTATCCACCCACGCAGAGACCTAGAGAAAGAGAGGATAGAGATTTTGTGGGTCTGGCTGACACTATCATGGAAGACTATTGATACCGACTGGGCTCCATCCCACTTGGTCGAGCGGAGCCTATGGTCGATGTAGCAATAGGGGGAAAGAGAAGTTCTTTCATGATCGACACAGGTGCTGAACATTCTGTGGTGACTAAGATGGTGGCTCCGCCTTCGGGGAAGACTATAACTGTGATAGGAGCTACTGGGAGAAGTGCAGCTAGACCGGTTCTTAAGAGTCGCACTTGTATTCTGGGAGGCCATGTGGTGAAGCATTAGTTCCTATATATGCCAGAGTGTCCGATTCAACTTTTAGGACGAGATCTATTATCGAAGCTTTAAACTCAGATAACCTTTTACCTAATGGATTAACATCTCTGAAGTTTAAGGGATTACCAGGCATAATGGTGATATCGGTGCCAAGGGAAGAAGAATGACGCTTCTATTCCATAGTGACAAGTGTTAACCCTAAGAGTGATGAATCCTTATTTGACATTCCAGGAGTATGGGAAGAAAATAATCCTCCAGGACTTGCTCGTAATATCCCACCAATACATATTGAGTTAAAGCTCGGGGTGTATCCTGTTAGCCTTTGTATGTTGTTCTTTTATCTACCCCAACAGCTGTAAAGGTGGCGGAAGTGACTCCTTGGATTCATCATTCTAAGGTTAAACCAGCAGCAGACTCTTGGCAAGCTCCTCCAGATCCTGAGAATCCTTGCAGGACCCGGTTGAAGCGTGCAACTCAGTCGGAGTGACGAGGGGATATCGAGACATTCTAGTTAAAAGTCTACAAAGATCATCAAGTAGGTGTTTTGACGGCCATAATAAAGCCTGACCACCTGCCTACGTGTCATAGCCAGAGTATCTTGAAGGGATCTCTGTGAAGGAAAGTGAGGATCAGAAGAACAACATCCTTGCAGCCCTCACAATCGGGAAGCTGAGAGGCCATCGCACGGTTGAAGAAAAATGAGGATTTCAGGAATAATGTGTTTTATTGTGTCTTAGTATTTTTATGATTTTTCAGGAAGGTAGGAGTACAGACATACCGAATTGCGATAGTTGCATTAAGACTACTAAAACAGGTAACCAAATATCCCAAACTTTCATCTGGCACTCACAGTATGAATGTAAGGGATCTGTATCTAAATGTAGATATTTGGATATTGATTATAGTGTGTGCAAGCCAATATCAGGAGAGTCTAAATGTTTTGATCCCCATTTCCAACCCCGTATAATTTGGTTGGTAATTCGGAATAGTAACTCCCAGGGGACATTAATAAATAGGACTGTGATAAGCACCATACATTCCGCGGGTATTCTACTATTTGATGCATGTAAGGCGATTTCGGGTAGTGGAAGACTTTGGAATGTATGTGGTAATCTTAAATGGGAACGAACTTATGGGTTTAATGATAAATACTTATGTCCCAGTAAAAGATCTACTGATCCTGATTGCCCAAATAGAGACTAACTTCTGCCCCTATTGGTCATGTGTAGGTTGGGCAACCTGGGAAAAACAGTGGATCAAGATATGATTATCCAAAGGTTGCCTACCACACCATACTGTAAAACTATGTGTGTAACCCCGTTCACATGACCATTTCCAATCTGCAGTACTTTATTGACAGGTTTGGAGGTCTGTTTGGGTTCAAATATATGGCACAGGAGTAGATTCAGGAACAATAATATATGTAGGTCTTGAAACTGAGACAGTGGCAACTCAAACTCATCAGGTTTCTCATTCCTTCTATGAGGAGATGAGTATTGAGGATAAAATTCCCCATAATGTTAACAACCTATTTATTGATTTGGCTGAGGGTATTGCAGGTAGTCTTAATGTAACTAATTGCTATGTGTGTGGAGGTACTAATATGGGAGACCAGTGGCCATGGGAGGCAAAGGAAATATGGTACCCTGGCTCTGAGACATATGAACAACAGATACCTTTCCAGTCTGATCATCAAGTAAGTACTAGAAGTAAATTGGAATGGTGGTTAAAAACCTCCATTATAGGTCATGTTTGTATAGCCAGGAAAGGGACAATGTATAACACGTCTGTAGGTGAGCTAACGTGCTTGGGACAAAAAGCCTATAATGTTAATACTAAAAATACTACTTGGTGGTCAGCTTCAAATGTCTCAGAACCATCTAACCCGTTTGCAAGATATGCCAATTTAAAGGACGTATGGTTTGATCTATCCATCACATCTAACTGGAGAGCCCCAGCGAATTTGTACTGGATCTGTGGTAAGAAGGCCTATTCGGAGTTACCACAGGACTGGGAAGGGGCATGTGTGTTGGGTATGTTAAAACCATCCTTCTTCTTGTTGCCTATTGAAACAGGTGAGACTTTAGGTGTTAAAGTGTATGATGTGAATCATAGGAAGAAAAGGGGACCCATAGAGATAGGTGCCTGGGAAGATAATGAATGGCCTCCCCAGCGTATTATAGATTATTATGGGCCAGCCACGTGGGCAGAGGATGGTACCTTTGGTTATAGAACCCCTATTTATATGCTCAACCGCATTATAAGGTTACAGGCGGTGGTTGAGATCATTACTAACGAGACATCACAAGCGCTCAATCTTCTAGCGAAGCATAATACCAGGATGAGGACAGCAGTTTACCAAAATAGATTAGCCTTGGATTATCTTTTGGCAGTAGAGGGAGGTGTATGTGGGAAGTTTAACCTGAGCAATTGCTGTCTTCAAATAGATGACGAAGGGCAAGCAATAGCTGAACTTACAAGCCACATGGTTAAACTAGCGCATGTGCCTACTCAGGTATGGAAAGGGTACAATCCAAGTAGTTGGTTTGGTAGCTGGTATGAGTGGTTTGGAGGGCTTAAGGCAGTGGTAGGTGGAGTCCTACTGATTTTAATGTTGTGTCTACTCCTGCCGTGTCTTATACCCTTAGTAGTTAGGTCTGTGCAAAGCCTGATAGAAAATATAGCAGAGAGGAAGGCTGCTGCACAGATAATGGCAATTTATAAATATAAGGCTCTAGATCAGGGAGAACCAATGCAGGAAGACGAGTGTTGAAGATTCACATCATAGGATAAGTCTGGTCTGGTTCAAAGGTAACTTGTGGTGTATGCAAACCAAGGTTAAGTGATGCCTCAAGTAATTGTAAAATATCAAGAGGCATCAAAGGGGGGAATGTGATGGGATTCCAGCATGGTTAAAATTTAGTAGGCCAAAATCTCCATGTGGCATATGTGTATGTTGTGTCAGTTGGTTAGCTACATGTAGCTAGGATACTGTCATCAGTGTACTGAGCATGTGCAGGAATGCAGGAACTGAAATTGCACTTATTTCCTTTGTCTTGGATGGGCCATGTGGTTTGACTAGATGTACAAGTCTATATTCTGCTCATTGATTGGTTAAAGGTATATGTGGGTGTAGCTATTAATGGGAGGAGTTAT